TAACGTAACCGTACGGAAACGAAGTAAAGGTAAAGGGTAAAGGGAAGGACGGACGGACGGACGGACGGACGGACGGTGGTAGGTAGTACACACTATCTCTCTCCTCCTCCTCTCTCTCTCCCTCCCTCCTCTCTCTCTCTCTCTCTCGCTCTCTCTCTCTCTCGCTCTCTCTCTCTCTCTTGCGGCGCGCGCTCGCGTTCTCTCCCTCTCTCTCCCGCGCGCGAGCGCGCGCTCTCTCCCTTTCTCTCGCTATCTTTCTCTGTCTATCTGTCTCTCTCGTTTCAGTCTATCCATATTTGTCTCTTCCGTTCTGTTTCCTTTGCTCACACTCACGCTTCCTCTCTCCCTCTAATTTTAATGCGTTCCTTTTAGATCCCCTTCTCTCGATCCTTGACTACAATGTTGAAACGATCTTTCATTACTACAAGATTACGCTCGCCTGTAGCGTTGCGAATGAAACCAGCCTTCTTAATATACAGATTATCAGCATCATCACCACCATCCGCACCATCACCCCCACCAACAGCCTCATCACCACCACACTCAGCAGCAGCACCATCACCACCATCACCCCCTCCACCAGCAGCACCACCACTACCACCAGCCTCAGCATCACCATCACCACCACCCTTAGCAGCAACCCCCAACCACTACCGCCAGCAACAGTAACAACAACTGCAGTAGCAGCAGGGACAGTAACAACAACAGCAGCAGCAGCAGCAGCAGCAGCAGCAGGGAGAGTAACAACAGCAGTAGCAACAACAGCAGCAGCAATGACAGTAACATCAACAACAACTGCAGCGGCAGCAGTAGCAGCAGCAGGGACCGTAACAACAACAACAGCAGTGACAGTAACAGCAGCAGCAGCAGCAGCAGCAGCAGCAGCAGCAGCAGCAGTAGCAGTAACAACACCAAGCAGCAGACGCCGCGCCGAGCTTCGTCCGCACAATTCCATCGCACGCACCTGTTGCTAATTGAACACGTCAAGTGCATTCGCCTAGATCTACGTCAGCACTGTAATAAACTACGGACGGCGCATGCGCGCGTGAAGACTACGTTACTGACCGCACGAGTTCGTCTGCTAATCACGTGATCACGATCGCTACAGACGTCGATGTTGCCGACGACGTCGCCGGATCATACGGAGATGGGAGTTATAAGGAGGAGGAGGAGAAGGAGGAGAAGGAAGAGGAGGAAGAAGAGGAGGAGGAGGAGGAAGAGGAGAGGGAACAGAATGCGCGGGTCTGCGGTAGCTGCTGCCGCTAGTTTGGTTTTGAGCGATGTTGTGAAAGGGGAGGGAGGGAGTGGGCGGGGAGCGTGGGTGCGGGGGACGCGTGCTGAGTGTGTAGTGATTACAAGGTATCGGTGTACGCGTTCAACATTATTCCCCAATTTCATCTCGCAACCGTTACCATTTCGTCGCGATTCTCATACTCTCGATGTGAGAAACTTATCGACTACGTTGCTATGGTTATCGGTGCGTGCAGACGCCGTGTTGTGAAAGCTGTGTGCTTGATAATCATTGATATATCTTACATCTTATAGTGGGTATCCTCTAATGTGCCTTAAGATACTATGAGTAGCTGTTAAGATTAGCCGTATCGTAGCCAATTTGATGTACTTAAAATCGTAAACCGTCGCGCGTATGTATATAAGAAATGAGAGGGGCTTGATTTTTTCTCGATTATTGTAAATAGAACAAAATATGAAATTGTACTTAAAACGCGTTCCATATATTTTTGTGAATAATTACGTCTAGGAAACAATGAAATGTAAAGATCTTTGAATTTGATATGATACGACTCACCGCACGTTCCCAACCTCTCACCGCAAGCATTACCATCGCTCATCATTCCTGTATAAATATTGTCACACTCGCCTATATTCGTCTGGCATTCTGCGTCCAGCCACTAGCATGTATGGCGAATGTATATGTACGTAGGATTGTTTTGCTGATATTATGTTACCACGTGCGTACTAGCAAATCGTCTCGGCTGTAATGTACATATAGAAACAAAATAGCGAGAATATAGTGATGAATATATAGATGCTGAGAATATATATATCCCCCAGACTCTCCCCTGATAACTTTATGCATTTACTTACACGAGGCATCTATGCTTTCATCCTAATTAGCTGAAGGGTTTTGTTTCACCGCCGCACGTTCAGCAATTTCCCGTTTCAACGTCGGGTGGATATCCTGCATGCTCTGCGTAATGATTTGACCTAGAAATTTTCTATAGTACACTTTGTTTACCTTTATGAATCTGCTCGTCGGCCGACGGCAACTTATTCACACACTTCGGCTGCGCGATGACGTCATTATATTGTTCTCGCTAGTGTAACAGTTAATAATAAATGCTAGTTGTCAATTTCCGCATCTCTTTGTTTCCTTTTTTAAAGTTTTAATTACCAATTTTAATTTAAAAGTCAGTCGAGCTCGAGTATTGTATTTCATTACGAATTTTTTTGATGCACAGCAGAGAACTCACCACCTTCCTTCGTATATTGATTCAACCGACACACACGCACGCACGCGCACGCACACACACACACACACACACACACACACACACACACACACACACACACACACACACACACACACACACACACACACACACACACACACACACACACACACTTGTACAAGCACTTTTGATATTCTAACTCAGCGGCCAAGGCCTCGCGGACTAAAGAAACCGCAGAGCTATATTAGGTAAATAACCATAACAGCAGGGCGCCGAAATAGCGGCCATCTTACGAAACGTGTCGCTTGTGTAAAGAAATCGAGTCATTGGCGGATTCGCTAATTCTGATGACTGTTATTCTGATGGCTGCTCGTGGCGCAAAGCTAGCGAAAAGAGCGTGGATTCATTCGCAAGATGACTTTTGTTCCCGTAACCTTCACAGCGCACAATACGTCGCCCAGGTAAAAGGAAAAATGGAGGTCACTTCTGATGGCATGAAAACACGAGAGAGTACTTGCTTTTTTCCCCCGTTCGCAATTTCAAAATTGGTATATGAACAGATCGGAACGCGTGTGTTGCCATTATGCTCTCGTTAAGTTGCTCACGTATACAATCAGGTCGTTTTGAAAGGAACCGCATACAAAGACTCCTTCAAGGTCCGTATTGCGCTATTTCGGTAGTTAGAAGTCGCCATTTCTTAAGAATTTGATACTGTAATGCGATACACGTTTTAAGAGCACACCTGCCTACACAGCTCGCCCTTCACCAAACATGCAATCATACGATAACAATCGATTAAACTTTATAGCAATGAAATCACGAACACTGTCATATAGAATTCGTGTGTTTCGTACATCAGTATCCAACACGGGCGATAGCAGAACGGTATATGAATTTAACTGAACACTAACTAAACTAAACACGGGTTAATGATACCTGCATGATTAAATATGACAAACGCACTGGAATAATATCTCACGCAAACAAACTAGAATGTCAACGAAAATCGGTCGACCTACTGAAAGAAGCGTCAATTTATTTAATTACAGAATTTATATGTTACTTATGACTATTGATATTAGCGTGAAATATAGCATAATATATAAGCAGATAATACTAGTTTGGATATAGGAACATTAATTTTAACATGTTACAAAGATGATGTATAAAGATATATTAAAACTTAATATTATGAATATATGATAATGTATATATTATCATATATTAGAACTTCAGTGCATGAAAATGTCTTATAATGCCCACGGCGTTCATAAATTGATGCGTTCATATTGTAGCTAGCGAGAAGAAAAATACATACACACTAACAGCGTCTGAAGAATTCAAGAAAGCTTGGTGAATCTCTTGCGATTTCAAAATTTGGAAAGTTAAATTAAAAACATGGCCTGAGCACAAAGCGCATTTCACGCATTGCTACTTCGTCCGATTAGCCCGAGTTCTCTCTATCGTATATATATATATATATATATATATATATATATATA